GCTTGATGAGGCCATGATTAGAAAATCCACATTTTCTGGTCGCCCTGATTTGGCGTTTCATTCCCTACTAGGGCCCTGGTAGGGCAATTTCTACACGGGCTTGTTCAGAAACTAGTGAAAATTATAATTATCTAAATGAACAATCGCTAGTTTCTATACATTATAAATACTTAGAAACAAGATAGTACAACTGTTATAGTTTCCAAATAGTCAAAATATCTAGAAACTAGATAGTACAACTTAAATAGTTTCCAAATAGTTAAAATATCTAGAAACTGGATAGTATATCTAGTTTCTATATACTTTAACCATCTAGAAACTAGATTGTATAACTGTCCTAAAATTTCTAAGTAATCTGGATGATTGTAGATAGTTTCCATATAGTTTTAGTAACTAGAAACTAAACAGTGTAACAGTCTAATAATACTAATTACTTTCTATTGCAAAATAATGTACATAAACAAGATAGTTTCCATACAATTTGAGTGTCTTTAAACTAGGTCGTAGTGTAACAGTTCCCGCTAGTTTTAGAATAGTTGAACTATACTGAAACTGAATAGAAAATAGTATACCAAACCAATAGAGAAACGTGAAATATTTTTATACGGGGAAATAAGGGATTTTAAACCTAATAATTGTTCTGTCTATTCTTTTGCATTTTCTAAGAATATCTAGACAGTTTCTACATAGTTAACTATCTAGAAACTGGATAGTTTTCATATAGTTTTAGTATCTAGAAACTAGACAGTATAACTGTCCTGATATTTCTAAGTAATGCACCAAATAGTTTCCGTATAGTTCAAGAATGTAGAAACTGGTTAGTCGTAGCGTCTAGTTTCTATATAGTTTTCCTATAGAAAACAAGTAAAACTCTACCGTAACTAAATAGAAACGTGAAATATTTTCACAAGTTATTTTCCTTCGATTCACATTTAGAGAGTGCATAAAATAATAATTAGCGAAAATTGAAACACACTAGACAAATGTCAAATGTATAAATAAAGAACTTATGATAAATGAGAGCACACAAAGCTATATAAGCCTTCAGGTTATTGAAAGCAGATTACGTTTCGCGCGTGAATACAAGATTTTACCGTTGCGAGTGCTTCCGCGTCAAGAGCTGATAAGCCGAGAGCGCAGTATATAGATAAAACCAAAAAAAAAAAAAAAAAAAAAACAATATCATATACGCGGGGTTGAAAATACAACTAAAACCGTGACTACGCATATAATAACTGTTGACTGCACAAAATGCAAAACAACATAAAATAACTAGATATATATTAATGTCGCCCGTGCGTATATTATAATTCTTGTGAAAGAAATTTTAATCAATATAAAACGTGAATAAATTACGAAGAAGGAATATAATATAAACTATTTAAATGATTTTGATAAGAAGATATAATCGAGTCACATAAAATAATTTGTGAATGCAATATTTGATAATAATTGGTCGAAAAAGGAAAATCAACTCTCACTTATATACTGAGACAAAATAAAAAAAAAGAAATATATAAATCATAACTTGATTTAAAGTCAAGGTGAGTAAGAAAATTTTATATACGTTGATTTCAAAGAGGAAGCTTCATATATTTCATTTGATATATAAGAAAAGAAAAATTTACTATAATTTCAAAAAAAATATAATAGGAATTTTTGACCTAATTTGAAAAAAGTACTTTCAGCGAACGCTCATTTCACGTTGTTGTGCACCGGTTCTCGTCCGATCACCGAAGTTAAGCAGCGTTGAGCGCGGTTAGTACTTGGATGGGTGACCGCTTGGGAATACCGCGTAGTGTTGGCTTAATTTTTTTTTTCATTTTCATTTTAGAATAAAATTACATTTTTTGGTTAAAAACCAATAGTCGGAAATGTAATCTTAATTTTTAGGGTTTTGTGGCTCAGGCACTAAGCTTTATAGTTACCATGCCAACCAATACCATAGCAACTGGTACCATAGCAACCAGTATCATAACAACTTGTACCATAGCAACCGGTATCATTGCAATTGGTAGCATAGTAACTGGTACCAAAGTAACTGGTACCAACATAACTAGTGCCAACATAACTAGTACCATAGCAACTAGTAGCAATATAACTAGTACCAATATAACTAGTACCAAAGATACTAGTATCATAGTAACTAGTACCAAAGTTACTGGTACCACAGTAACTGGTACCAAAGTAACTGGTACTAAAGTTACTAGTACCATAGTAACTGGTACCAAAGTAACTGGTACTAAAGTTACTAGTACCATAGTAACTAAATGGTACCAAAGTAACTAGTACCATAGTAACTGGTACTAAAGTAACTAGTACCATAGTAACTAGTACCAAAGTTACTGGTACCATAGTAACTAAATGGTACCAATGTTACTGGTACCATAGTAACTAGTACCATAGTAACTGGTACCAAAGTAACTGGTACTAAAGTTACTAGTACCATAGTAACTGGTACCAAAGTAACTGGTACTAAAGTTACTAGTACCATAGTAACTAAATGGTACCAAAGTAACTAGTACCATAATAACTAGTACCAAAGTTACTGGTACCATAGTAACTAAATGGTACCAATGTAACTAGTACTAAAGTTACTAGTACCATAGTAATTAGTACCAAAGTAACTGGTACCAACATAACTAGTACCATAGCAACTAGTACCAATATAACTAGTACCAAAGTTACTAGTACCATAGTAACTAAATGGTACCAAAGTAACTAGTACCATAGTAACTAGTACCAAAGTTACTGGTACCATAGTAACTAAATGGTACCAATGTAACTAGTACTAAAGTTACTAGTACCATAGTAACTAAATGGTACCAAAGTAACTAGTACCATAGTAATTGGTACCAACATAACTAGTACCAACATAACTAGTACCATAGCAACTAGTACCAATATAACTAGTACCAAAGTTACTAGTACCATAGTAACTAAATGGTACCAAAGTAACTAGTACCATAGTAACTAGTACCAAATTTACTGGTACCATAGTAACTAAATGGTACCAATGTAACTAGTACTAAAGTTACTAGTACCATAGTAATTAGTACCAAAGTAACTGGTACCAACATAACTAGTACCATAGCAACTAGTACCAATATAACTAGTACCAAAGTTACTAGTACCATAGTAACTAAATGGTACCAAAGTAACTAGTACCATAGTAACTAGTACCAAAGTTACTGGTACCATAGTAACTAAATGGTACCAATGTAACTAGTACTAAAGTTACTAGTACCATAGTAACTAAATGGTACCAAAGTAACTAGTACCATAGTAATTGGTACCAACATAACTAGTACCAACATAACTAGTACCAACATAACTAGTACCAATATAACTAGTACCAAAGTTACTAGTACCATAGTAACTAAATGGTACCAAAGTAACTAGTACCATAGTAACTAGTACCAAATTTACTGGTACCATAGTAACTAAATGGTACCAAAGTAACTAGTACCATAGTAACTGGTACTAAAGTAACTAGTACCATAGTAATTAGTACCAAAGTAACTGGTACCAACATAACTAGTACCATAGCAACTAGTACCAATTTAACTAGTACCAAAGTTACTAGTACCATAGTAACTAAATGGTACCAAAGTAACTAGTACCATAGTAACTAGTACCAAAGTTACTGGTACCATAGTAACTAAATGGTACCAATGTAACTAGTACTAAAGTTACTAGTACCATAGTAACTAAATGGTACCAAAGTAACTAGTACTATAGTAATTGGTACCAACATAACTAGTACCAACATAACTAGTACCATAGCAACTAGTACCAATATAACTAGTACCAAAGTTACTAGTACCATAGTAACTAAATGGTACCAAAGTAACTAGTACCATAGTAACTAGTACCAAATTTACTGGTACCATAGTAACTAAATGGTACCAAAGTAACTGGTACTAAAGTTACTAGTACCATAGTAAGTAAATGGTACCAAAGTAACTGGTACCATAGCAACCGTTTCCATGAGAACCGATACTATTACCATTTTTTCCTTAGCAATGGTAATATAAAGATTAGTATTTTTAAACGTGGAAAATTATCGAAAAATAAATGAGAAAAAAAGAAAATAGTGAACGATATACAGACATGGAGAATGATCGAGGAAACTCCCATAGAAATTCTTATGTCGAGTTCACATGCGCGAGTAAATATCGACTTTAAACTGATAACGGTTTCGTATCGCGCGGGACGACCAAGTCAACAAGACCACACTGTTTAATGTTTTTGGTATCGCATCGATTTACTTTCTCGAGAGAGAAAGAGAGACTCTGTTTCCCTGAGAGAGGAGACCTGAGGGAAATCATTGAGTTCGATATAGTATTTATATATATATATATATATATATATATATTTTGCGGTACACACAAGTAGTGACCATACGAAAAAGGTTAGTTCTCGCGTGAGAACGTATGTATATTATATGCTCTCAACTCTCCAAAGAGAGCTTTTATATATATATATATATATATATATATATACAACGACGAAGTGAAAAACAATCCGGAAAACGTCCTATACACTCTGAGTAATGATTACGCGCGCTCTCATATATGCGCTAAAACATGCACGACAAGATTATTGCATGAATCGAGAACGGATAAAGAGATCCTTGACTACTTGATACTATTCAAGGAAATTACTGATTATATATCGAGAAAACTATACGATATAAAGTTATTCATTTTGTGACATTTATTTATTGCCCATTGATCGCGATTCAATATATTAATGAAACTTTTTAGAAATAAAAAAAAAAAATCACAGGAATTTCCCGATCAATGTCAAGAGAACAAAAAATTGTAAAAAAAAAAAAACTTTATTATTTAGTTTATTAATAATTTTTGTTATTTTTTCGAACTTCTAAGATTAATAAAATCACTTTCTTTCTTCTCATCATATACCGGAAATTATTTCATAATAATCCAAGCAGATCTCAAATACAGAAAAAAAAAAGTAAATGCAATCAATCAATGATAAAAAGATATCACAAATATTATCTTGACAACTTTTATCAAAATCGACAAATACAACAATAAAAGATCAAAAAAAAATATTTCACTCAAGTTTTTATTTTTATCGAAAGATGAAGATTTTTTTGCAAATAATTTTTATTCTCTTTGTGTCAAAATTTGGTGAGTTTTTTTTTTTTAATAACTATTATTTAGTGACAAGAATATAAAAAAAACAAGTTTAAAAGTGTGGATAGTGTTAAAAAATGGTTTTTCATCAAGTTAGAAACAATTAATTATTATAACAATAATATAATTATATAATAATAATATAATTAGATAATAATAATAATAATAATAATTATTATTATTATTATTAATTATTTTTTAAACCAAAAATTTACATTAAAAATTAATTAAAAGTAAAAAAAAAATTACAGTAAAATCCGAGCCGGAATTGTCAAAAAAAGAGAATGAAATAACATTAAAAAATACATGGATTCCCGATGAAGATGAAAATATACTTGACAATGAGGAAATTAAATCAATAGCAAAAATTAAAAATTTAGATAAAAAAATAACTTTTCGTCTTTACACAAGGGAAACTGGTGACAATTATGAATTATTAAAACTTAACGATATTGACAGATTAAAAGCGAGTCATTTTAATCCTAAAAGACCTACAAAATTTTTTTCACACGGTTGGCGAACTGCCATAAGCAGAAGAAGTTCATTAAGAAAAATGATTCGCGAAGGTATATAATATAAAAATATAATTAAATAATTTTGGAAAAAAAAAGAAATAAATAATGTTTTAAAAAACTTACAGCATTTTTGGAAAGTGAAGATTGTAATTTAATAATGATAACATGGTATAAATTGTCATTTAGACCATATTTTATAATTAGAAAAAATATTGAAAAAATGGGCCGATTTATTGCATCATTTATTAATTTTTTGGAAATGGAAGAAATGAATTTAAATAGTACAACTCTCATTGGTCTTTCGCTTGGCTCACATGTTGTTGGTGTAACGGGTTATTATACAAAAAGAAAAGTAAATAATATTATCGGTATGTATAATATAATTATATACATATATATATAATTAGAAAATAAAATTTCATTTAATTATTTTGTAACAAGATAATTAATTTCACTTAATTATTTATTACAAGATAATTATAATTTCGTTATTAAACGATAATTAGAATTAATATATTAATAATTATTAATTTCTATAGTTATTAATATTAATTAATAAATTAATGAATAAATAAATAAATTAATAAATTAATTAAATTCGAAATTAAAAACAAATAGGTTTGGATCCTTCGTGGTATCTCTACAATTCCTGCGGATGGAGATGTCGAATTTCAACGCAATCGGGAAATAATGTGGAAATTATACACACTAATGATAATCTTATTGGAAATCCAAATGCACTGGGACATGTGGATTTTTATCCAAATGGAGGCTCAAAACAACCGGGTTGTATTTTTGATATAATGGGACTTTGTTCACATCATAGAGCACTTCTCTACTATTTAGAATCTCTTTCAACAAAACGAGGATTTCATGCAATGAATTGCAATTCCTATAATCATTTTCTGTCAGGTGAATGTAATGGACATAGGGAAATTATGGGTGGCATTGATATTTCATTTAAAAAACAAGGTATTTATTATTTAATGACAAATTCGAAAATACCTTACGCCAAAGGAAAAATAGAGAAATAAAAATAAAAATTTATTCCACTAAATGGAAACTACTAAATGGATGAGTAAAATATATATAATGAAAAAATTTACAAAAATTCGTATAAACTTTTTCAAGGATGTCCTCAATTTACCATTCTGCCAATTACGAATCCAATTTGAATTGTTACGCACAATTTAAATTCGGTTATGTGTGCTCGTTTCTTTGGTATCGATTAGATTAATTTATTTCTGTATTGATCAAATTCTGTAGACAATTAAGTGAAAGGAAATTTATTCAAGCCAATATCCTGCGTGTCTTTATTGTAAAAAAGAATTAATTAAAAAAAATAAAATTATTACCTAAAATAAAGGAATTTTATCAAATTATTTTTTCGAATTTTAACAATAAAAAAAGTTAATATCTTTCATCAAATGTAAACCATGTTGTTTGAAATTCTTTTTTTTTAATTATATCTGATCTTCGTTTCTTTTCTCCGTTTAAATATATTATAAATATAACGATATTTCATTATTGCTGACAAAATTCGCAAGACTGGATGATAGCGCAATATAATATACTTCTTGGTATACACGATGATTGTACATTATTAATTGACAGGCTCGTTATTATACGATCATATTTGCAAAAGTTTCTTTCCCAAACTTATATTATATATATATATCTCTCTCTCTTTTTTTTTCTCTCTTAAGCTCTGTGTTCTCGTTCGATTCGACAGCATAATTAATTGACAAGCACGATTACGGTATTAATGGAAAGACAGCGCGATCAAATGAAAAATGACGTATTTTTGCGCTATATTGCTGTTTTGCTTTATCCCCCAAGTTCTTTTTATTTATATTTTTTTTATTCTTAAATAAGCCTTCAAAACTCATTATCCGCAGCCATGTAACGAAAAATCTTTAATCGCAAAAAAAAGTCTTGCAAAAAAAAAAAAAATTTGCAAACAATTATTTGGGTCGCATACATTATCTCGTATACAATTCAACTTTCATTAAATGTTTCATTAAAATTAAATTTTTTTTAATAATTTTAATACTGTGAGACAAAATAAAAAAATAGAAATATATAAATCATAACTTGATTTAAAGTCAAGGTGAGTAAGAAAATTTTACATACGTTGATTTCAAAGAGGAAGCTTCATATATTTCATTTGATATATAAGAAAAGAAAAAATTTACTATAATTTCCAAACCAATATATAATAGGAATTTTTCACCGAATTTGAAAAAAGTACTTTCAGCGAACGCTCATTTCACGTTGTTGTGCACCGGTTCTCGTCCGATCACCGAAGTTAAGCAGCGTTGAGCGCGGTTAGTACTTGGATGGGTGACCGCTTGGGAATACCGCGTAGTGTTGGCTTAATTTTTTTTTTCATTTTCATTTTAAAATGAAATTACATTTTTTGTTAAAAAACCAACAGTTGGAAATATAATTCTAATAATAACTAGTACAAAGTTACTAGTACTATAGTAACCAGATGGTACCAAAGTAACTAGTACCAAAGTAACTAGTACTAAAGTTACTAGTACCATAGTAACTAAATGGTACCAAAGTAACTAGTACCATAGTAACTGGTACCAAAGTAACTGGTACTAAAGTTACTAGTACCATAGTAACTAAATGGTACCAAAGTAACTAGTACCATAGTAACTGGTACCAAAGTAACTGGTACCAAAGTAACTAGTACCATAGTAACTGGTACCAACATAACTAGTACCATTGCAACTAGTACCAATATAACTAGTACCAAAGTTACTAGTACCATAGTAACTAAATGGTACCAAAGTAACTAGTACCATAGTAACTGGTACCAACATAACTAGTACCATTGCAACTAGTACCAATATAACTAGTACCATTGCAACTAGTACCAATATAACTAGTACCAAAGTTACTAGTATCATAGTAACTAGTACAAAGTTACTAGTACCATAGTAACTAAATGGTACCAAAGTAACTAGTACCATAGTAACTGGTACCAAAGTAACTGGTACCAAAGTAACTAGTACCATAGTAACTGGTACCAACATAACTAGTACCAACATAACTAGTACCAAAGTTATTAGTATCATAGTAACTAGTACAAAGTTACTAGTACTATAGTAACCAAATGGTACCAAAGTAACTAGTACCAAAGTAACTAGTACTAAAGTTACTAGTACCATAGTAACTATATGGTACCAAAGTAACTAGTACCATAGTAACTGGTACCAAAGTAACTGGTACTAAAGTTACTAATACCATAGTAACTAAATTGTACCAAAGTAACTAGTACCATAGTAACTGGTACCAAAGTAACTAGTACTAAAGTTACTAGTACCATAGTAACTAAATGGTACCAAAGTAACTAGTACCATAGTAACTGGTACCAAAGTAACTGGTACTAAAGTTACTAGTACCATAGTAACTAAATGGTACCAAAGTAACTAGTACCATAGTAACTGGTACCAAAGTAACTAGTACTAAAGTTACTAGTACCATAGTAACTAAATGGTACCAAAGTAACTAGTACCATAGTAACTGGTACCAAAGTAACTGGTACCAAAGTAACTAGTACCATAGTAACTGGTACCAACATAACTAGTACCATTGCAACTAGTACCAATATAACTAGTACCAAAGTTACTAGTACCATAGTAACTAAATGGTACCAAAGTAACTAGTACCATAGTAACTGGTACCAACATAACTAGTACCATTGCAACTAGTACCAATATAACTAGTACCATTGCAACTAGTACCAATATAACTAGTACCAAAGTTACTAGTATCATAGTAACTAGTACAAAGTTACTAGTACCATAGTAACTAAATGGTACCAAAGTAACTAGTACCATAGTAACTGGTACCAAAGTAACTGGTACCAAAGTAACTAGTACCATAGTAACTGGTACCAACATAACTAGTACCAACATAACTAGTACCAAAGTTATTAGTATCATAGTAACTAGTACAAAGTTACTAGTACTATAGTAACCAAATGGTACCAAAGTAACTAGTACCAAAGTAACTAGTACTAAAGTTACTAGTACCATAGTAACTATATGGTACCAAAGTAACTAGTACCATAGTAACTGGTACCAAAGTAACTGGTACTAAAGTTACTAATACCATAGTAACTAAATTGTACCAAAGTAACTAGTACCATAGTAACTGGTACCAAAGTAACTAGTACTAAAGTTACTAGTACCATAGTAACTAAATGGTACCAAAGTAACTAGTACCATAGTAACTGGTACCAAAGTAACTGGTACTAAAGTTACTAGTACCATAGTAACTAAATGGTACCAAAGTAACTAGTACCATAGTAACTGGTACCAAAGTAACTAGTACTAAAGTTACTAGTACCATAGTAACTAAATGGTACCAAAGTAACTAGTACCACAGTAACTGGTACTAAAGTACCAGTTTGCAATTTGCAAACAATTATTTGGGTCGCATACATTATCTCGTATACAATTCAACTTTCGTTAAATGTTTCATTAAAATTAAATTTATTTTAATAATGAATGACAATTAATTAAATAAATAAAAATTGTAATTTATTTTATTATAACAAATAAATAAATATTTATTTGAATCAGCCAATAGTTTAATTAATTCAATCTAATTCTTTTTTTAATCTTTTTTTTTAATTTGTTTGAATCAATTAAATTTTGTTTGAATCAATCAAGTTTTGTTTGAAATAAATAAATTTTCTTTGTGTCAAAAAAATATTTTTTCTGTATGTATGTACAAAATTGTAACCTAAATTTTTCATGAAAATTAACAGTGATCGATTTTTTTTTTGTAAAAATAACCCATAAAAAATACAATTTTCTACGTGCCTTAAACTAGGCTAAACATATATACATAATAACGTCATTAAATTATTGTTGGAAAAGTTATTCCCGCATATATTTAAAATGAAATAATTCACAAAATATTATTCTCATTTTGCGCAATGAATTTTCTTATTCAATTTTGTATAATAATTCGCGCGATATTGTATATATAAAGTCATTTCAAAAGTCACGAATTCAAAACGATTGCATATATAAAGTTAATAACTATAGCAAATGGAAAATATATAAACGAGTTCCTGTATTCGTATACATATCAAAGTATCATAGACATTTTCCATAAGTATTATGCATATATATAATAATCCTCTCTTATGACACGTTGTTATTATATACCGCGATCCATGTTCATATACGTGCTACTCTCATCACTGATTGTAAATTTTAGAGCGTGATGAGCAATCATTTATATACACGTCGTAATAACCGATGAAAGTATATCTTTTCTTTCTCTTGGGTATAAAACACATTTCGACAAATTAAACGTCACAGTGTGGCTATATAGAAAAATATACAGCATCCCATTTTATCGTTTTGTCACAATTTTTTCCCTTTTACAAATTGCCGCGATTTTATGATTCCCGAGAGACGTTCCTTTTTATATATATATATAGATACTAAAAATTTAGAAAACACAAGTATACTAAAAAAAAAATTCATATGTAAAAAAATATTTACCTGAAACACCAAAAAGTTTTGCTAGAATAGAAAAATTTTTAATTTCAATTAAATCATTTACTATTCTTAGTGAAAATTTTCGCTATTCCAGATGAAATTTTTTTCCTGCAGTTAAAATTCAAAAAATTTTCGATATGGATTTTTATCTACTGTGTTTTTGGTGTTTATGTTATTCTCCCACGGAAGTGACACTGAAAGAGGGAATATTCGGGATGAAAGATTCGAACATGAAACAATTTGAAATAACAATAGTCAGGAACAAACAATGTGTTCGCTTCCAGGCTCGTGACTATGATGCAGTTACATGGCAAATAAAGGTTACTAGCCTCTCCCATCAATAACGCTCATACCACCGTCTTCTTATATATATATATATATATATATATATATATATATATATATATATATGTATACAAATACAATCGTCTTGCGTCATTCGGATCATGATTTGTTTTGTTTTTCTGTCACAAAGAATACTGTGAGTTAGTTCGCGCGGGGACCACCATGCTCGCGTTTTCAATACGCCCTCGAGTTCATTTCAAAACGCTATATATATATATATATATGTTTTCCTATTTCATATTTCATAATACATGTTGTTGTATTTCCGGTTTTCTTATTTTTTTTTTTTTTAGTTAAAAGATTCAACAATTGCATCTCATTGATGTGAACCATTTTTGCTAAAATTACCATAGCTATATTATAAAAATAATTTTTTCCCCTCATTTAACTCAAGATGCTAACAACCTTATTGCTATATACTAACAATTGAGAATTAAATTATCGAAATGAAAATAATATTATAAACCTATCATTATGAAAGTTTCA